TCATCCCCCCCACCCCCAATCCTCCCCTGTCTCTAGCCGGTTGCCAGGCCTGGCAATCCTCGTTAAGCACCCTATTCTTCCCAGCAGTCATTTCTTCAAAACAGCTGCCTGGGTCTGGTGATTGGCTTCTAAAACACAGAAGATCCCGAAATGCAGTTCTTTCCTGTCAGGTCTGGCCCTCAAAATGCCATTTGACCCAAATGGAACCTCTGCCCTGAGCATGATTCCTCCCGGCCTTCCGTGGCCAGATCTCCCTTTTCTCCCACGGGATTGTGCAGGGAGGGAGAGTGGCCTCACATGTCATAAGAACATAAGAGACACCAATGTTGGATCAGGCCAAAGGCCCATCCAGTCCAACACTCTGTGTCACACGGTGGCCAGAAATACCAGTGCCATTAGAAGGTCCACCAGTGGGGCCAGGACATTAGAAGCCCTCCCACTGTTGACCCCCCCCCCCAACACCAAAGATGACGGGACAGGGCATCACTTGCCCCAGAGCCCCTATCTATACCTTGTGGCTAATAGCCACTGATGGACCTCTGCTCCATATGCTTATCTAATTCCCTTTTGAAGCCGTCCATGCTTGTAGCTGCCACCACTTCCTGTGGCAGTGAATTCCAAGTGTTAATCCCTCTTTGGGTGAAGAAGTACTTCCTTTTATCTGTTCTAACCCGACCGCTCAGCAATTTCATGGAGTGCCCACGAGTTCTTGTATTGTGAGAAAGGGAGAAAAGTACCTCTTTCTCTACCTGCTCTTTCCCATGCATAATCTTATAAACCTCAATCATGTTCAGGAGCTTTGTTCTAGCTGCTAAACTTGAAGAGCTCAGTACAGCGGGAAGGCACACAGAGAGACCTGAAAGACTGCCTTTAGGCAGCTGAACCATGTATTGAACCTGCAATGGGTGGCTGAAAACAACCTGTGGAAGGCGATTGGCAGGATTGGCACTGGATTTACTTTTGCTTGTGGATTTTGGATCATTGTGGTTTATTCAAAAGCTAAGTAAGCTACATCTTAGGGCCCCCAGTTATAAAGAACATCTAAATTCGTGTTGCCAACTCCAGGTTGAAAAATTCCTGGATATTTTTTTTTTGGGGGGAGCCTGGGGGGAGGGGACTCAGCGGGGTATACTGCCATAAAGTCCACCTTCCCAAGTAGCTATTTTCTCCAGAGGAACTGATCTCTCTCATCTGGAGATCAGTTGTAATTACAAGAGGTCCCCAGACCCCACCCGGAGGTTGGCAATTTTTTAAAATAATAAATTTCAGTACTAGAAGAATATACATCTTTTGGAACAAAGTTTGAATCCAGGGCTTAGTCCAGGCACGCGTGCCACTGGACTCAAACTTTGCCCTGTTGCTTCAGACCAATACAGCTACCCACCTGAACGTACACATCTTTTGGGTAATACTACGAAGTCTCATAAAGTTGCTAAATCTTTAGGGACTTAGCATGTTTTAATCTATCGTTGTGTGTGGGGGTGTCCCTACTTTCCTTTCTTTTTGGGGGGAGAGGTGATTGTGTTAGGCACAATCCCCTCTTTGACTGTTAAATGTACAGTTCAGGAAGCCAGGCTTCCTGGTAACCCCTTTCTTTGCCTGTCAGTACTTTGGGCACCAGTGGGAGGAAATGAGGTATGGAAGGAATATGCACCAGAGATGTGCTAGCACAGGGGTAGCCATATTTGCTTAACATGAGAGCTGCTTAAAATAAACATCAGATGTTTGAGAGCTGCAAGACATGAACAAATATTACACACACGTTTTTTATTGAAAAATATGCAAATTTGCTTTTTATTAACATTAAATGAGACTGCCAAAAATAAAAACAAAAGGAGTAAAAACAGATATTGATAATGATATTTATTTGCCCAATGATATTTATTTGTTTGCTGATTATATTTATTTGTTTAAGAGAGAGAGAAAGGGAGAGAGGTGGAAAGAAAGAATGAAAGAGGTGGAAAGAAAGAGAAAGAGAGAGAGGAAAAACAAAGAAAGCAAATAGATGGAGAAGGAAGGACAGAAGGAAGGGAGAAAGAGAAAGGTGGAAAGAGTAAAGAGGTGGAATGAAAGAAGGAGAGAGAGAGAAAGAGAGAGAAACAAACAAAGAAAGCAAATAGATGGGGAGGGAGGGGAAGAAAGGACAGAAGGAAGGGAGAAAGAGAAATGTGGAAAGAATGAAAGAGGTGGAATGAAAAAAGGAGAGAAACAAAAACAAAGAAAGCAAAGAGATGGGGGAGGCAGGGGAAGAAAGGAAGGAAGGAAGATGGGGAGGGAGGATGGAAGGAAGGGAGAAAGAGAAAGGTGGAAAAAATGAAAGAGATGGAAAGAAAGGAGAGAGAGAGAAACAGAGAGAAACAGAAAGAAAGCAGATGGGAGGAGGGAGGGAGGGGAGGAAGGAAGGAAGAGAGAGAGAAAGCAAGCAAGCAAATAGATGAGGGAGGGGGAGGAAGGGGGAGAGAGAGAATGAGAGAAAGGAAGGAAGGATGAAGGGAGAAAGGTGAAAAGAAAGAAAAAGGTAGAAAGAAAAAAAGTAGATGGGGATGGAGGGAGGGAGGGGAAAAGAGAGAAATGGAGGTGGAAAGAAAGCAAATAAATGAGGAGGGAGGGAGGGAGAGAGGTGGAAAGAAAGAAACTTTAACTGTTAATGTATTTTCCACACACACCCACACCCACTCCAGGTGGCTTGGCTTAGGAAAGGGATTTAAAGAGACAAATGTCTTCTCCAAGCTGGCAGGTGGGGCCGTATGGTAGGGGCTTGGAGAACACCTTTAACTTTAAATGTGTTCTCCAAGCCCCCCACCCCTGCTGCCACACTGGCTTGGCTTGGAGAAGGGATTTAAAGAGACTAATGCCGTCTCTGAGCCAAGCCAGCCAGCTGGTGTGGCAGTGGGGTGGGGCTTGGAGAACACATTTAACTTTAGATGGGAAGTATTGCGCCGGGTCGTGGCTCTTGGGTGCAGGGCTTCCCTGCCGACCAGCCGGCTGGTGGCGGGCAGGAGCCCACGAAATTAGGGGATCCTCCGCTTCCACCTTGGGGCTGGCAACCCTACCCCTTCCTCCACTTTACCTTTCCAACAACCCTGTGAGGAAGGTTAGGCTGAGAGTGTGTGACTGTCCCGAGGTCACCTGGTGAGCTTCCATGGCAGAGTGAGGATTTGAACCTGGGTCTCAGAAATCTCTCTACCCACTACACTGTCATTGCATCGATACCATGCAGTCTATTTTGGGGTTCACATGCAGGATACCGGAAATTCGGGTTCTGAGGGGGCCAAAGTCCACTGGATAGCCACAATCATATTTATTAACTTATTTATTACCCCTGCCTTTCTCCCCAATGGGGACCCAAAGCGGTATATGCGTATTTTATCCTTAAAAAAGCAGTTGCAAAAGATGGTGGGATTAAGACAAAGGATGCGGTACTTGAGCAGTGGGTTAACATTTCCCATATAGAAATTATTCCCTTCTTGACAGTTTTAACCTCGGTGGAAGGAAGAAAGGCACTTGTGATGTACACATGTTTTCCCCATAGCAGCTGGGATGTACGTGTGAATGAGTGACATTTGTTGCAGAAATAGTACAGGGGACTTTGAAACGTTAAAGAACCCTCTCCCCATCTGAAAGCTTACAGGTTAATGCATCCTTAGATCAAACCACCAGTTCAAACAATTGAATAAATAGTAAAATTGCCCCACTGTTATAAATGAGTCAATATAATTGTCACCTAGCTGTACTTCATAAAAGTAGCACCTGTCACAGAGAGAAAGAGAGAAAAGCCATCAGGTCAATAAAATTAATGGAAAGACTGGGCTTGCTTTCCAAAAACATAGCAAGGAGGCACCACACAAATATCTGTAGGGAGGGAGTCTCACAGCTGGGAGGCCACCACTGGGAAGGACCTGTAGCTACCCATCTTCCCTTGGAGCATGGGAGCAGAGACTTGGTAGTACATACATGCTTTATTTATGATCCAGAGATAATAAATGAGTGTAACTCATGTTCTCTCATGAGCAGTCCTCAAAAGAGCTCTCTCAGCCCTACCTACCTCACAGGGTGTCTGTTGTGAGGACAGGAAGGGAAGGAGATTGTAAGCCACTCTGAGACTCCTTCAGGTAGTGAAAAGTGGGGTATAAATCCAATCTCCTCCTCCTCCTCTTCTTCCTCTTCCTCCCTGTGGATAAAACCTTAGCACACAACTTGGCCACTTTAATGGAAGTCTCCCCTAAATGATCTTCAAAGAGGTGGGATGTATAAAACATATCCAATCTATTTAGGAGCTTA